GAAGTGGTAATTGGGGAATTAGTCGGGGTTTCCTCCCAAGGGGGAGATGTTGTGCTTAGATAGCAAGGTTGTGGAATGTCCCGATATCCTCATCTCTTTTCTTCTACTCCTACTCTAGCTTTAGACAAAGAGTTCCTCTTAGCTAGTACTATATTTTGGAGTCATGAGTGTTTTATGTGTTTCCATGATTTCCTTATAATATGCATGTTCTTGAGAAATTCATGTTTAGTAAGAAAATGAGTTCTTTTTATGATTTACTTTCTTCATGTTGTTGTACATTTAGTATGAGTTGCCTATATGTTTCATGCAATGAATTGTCAAACATGCTTTAGTATGCTTTTGAGAGTAATTGCATAATTGGCTCCATGTTATTGTGTTGAGCATGCTTTTAGTTGGAGAAGGTAGTTCCTCCTATGAATATGTGAAATGTTGAGTTTCATGCATAATGGGTTGTTAGGTGTAGTTCCTACTTCCTTATGATGCATTGAGTATGTTGAGATGGAATTGATGTGTCCTCCTTTTAATTGTGCATTATTTTGATGTAGCATGCAAGATGGGCTGCTAGTATTGAGTCTTTAATTTCATAAGGTATCTAGATCGTCATTCGAGGATGAATGTTCCCAAGGGGAGATAATGTAACACCCCGGAAACTAGTAGGCTAAAAAATAAAGCTAAACGTGTAGGTTAACGTCAAGGAAGATGGGCAAGGGTCAAGGCAAGGGGCCAAGGCTTGCCCAAAATTGGCCAAGCCACTGCCCACCATGACCACGAGGGTCTTCACGACCCATGGTGCTACCCGTGGTGATAAGGAAGTGAGCCCACAAAACTGCCCCAAGGAAGGCTCCCCTTCACGAGCCACTTCACGGCTCGTGGTGAAGACCTCGACCCGTGGGAAGGCTCATGGGATTGACTTCACCTTGTGGGGGCTTGTTTCAAGTAGAATAGCTACTGGTAAAGGGACCACGGGCACCTTCACGGGCCGTGGTGCCCCTGACGGGTCGTGAGGCCTGGGCACCCCACTTTAAAGTGGGGGTTATTTTAGGTAATTCCTTTTTAAGTTAGTATTACGTGAGGTCATTTTGTATAGTTTTAATACACCTATATAATACTTTTAAATTCATTAACCAACCCATTCACTTTATTATTTCCCAAAACCCAAATCAAAACCCAAAAGAGTTTATCTTCTCTAAAATTTCTCTCTCTAGAACTTCAAGGAAGAAGAAGAAGGAAGTTGGAGCTAGGGTTCAAGAAAATAGGTTTTGATCTCAAATTCATGGGAATTCTGCGCTAAGGTATGGTAGCTCTTCATCCATGGATAGAATTCATCCATGGAGCCCTTTCTAAACCCCCAATTTCAAAGCTAGAAATCCCAAAAGTTAGGGTTTGACTTCAATCTCATGGGTTCCTTTAAAAAAAGTTTCTAATGATTGATTTATGATATATTATGCATTAATTGATGAATTCCCCCAAGAACCCATGAAACCCCCATATTACTCAATTATGATCTTGTGATGTTGGTTTGTTCATTATAGAAGAATGTTATGAGATTATGCTTGTAGTAATTGAGCTAATTGAATCATGTTATTATCCATGTCTAATGTAGTAATTCTAGATGTGTTTATTGAATGTGATCTATGGTCCTTGAAGGGCAAAGTATGTGAATTATGCATGATTATCAGATTTATGTATATGCCTAAAGAACACTCTGTGAGTGAAGCGTCCATGATTATGATGATGTTGTTGTGATGACTGAGAGGTTATTCTCACGAACACATAATGAACATGATGTGAAAGGTTTTTTCACATAATGATGATTCTAGGTTGAAAGGCTATTCTTACCTAATTGAATCTAATGTTAAATGTAGACATGGACGGTGAAAGGTTATTTTCACGGATGATCTAATGAGCTATCCTAATGTAACAAGTTATGACTTAATAAAGTATTCCATGGGAATTATGCTTAGCACCGAGTAGATATTGATATGAGATGGAAGCCCTCAGGTGAGTGGAGCCCGGATTTCCAGGAGCCATCTCTTGAGATGGATGCCCTCATGACAGTTGAGCCTGTGTATCTAGTAACAATCTCCTTGTCTCATAACTACCTGCCTCCGTAGGTTATTTGGCTAATGGTTCCACCTAAGCTACATAGGCAAGTAGGACAACCCTTTTTGGTGTGGGTAACACCGCATTCCATGTTAAGCTCACATGGTCTATGTCGGTTAAGGCTAATTCTCAGAAGGTCAAGTCTAGTATTAACTATGGCTACTTAAGATGTTTTACTTAGTATGGGTGAGAGTATATGATCTCATCCATGCATTGCACAAGTATGCTTTGAGGGTAGTTATGGTGTGTTCCTCTTATGTTATGATGATAAATGTAATGAATATGATTATGACTATATGGCAAGTGCATTTAATGTGATGACTACTTGTAATGATGTATGCTAATTTGGATTGTTGCGATGAGTTGATTTCCTTGATATGATTGACTAAAGGTTAATGTTACATTGTCTATGAGAAATAAGCTAAGAATGAGACCAAAAGATGGTAAACATGAATGAGGACCCAAAGTGACGTGCTTAGCATGGGTGGGATTATGGTATCTTATCTATGCATGGCACAAACTTTCCTTGAGGTGGCTCATGAAATGTTTCTCTTATGTTATGTTTAATTAGATTGCATTGGCTATGTCTATATCTATGATGTTATCTCTTAAGCTCACAAGTTATTATCATTTTCTTTTATGTTAAAGCCTATGCCTTACTATGATGTCTCTTATGCTTATGACTTATGGTTTTCAACTATCTTCAAAATGATGATTTAACTTAGCAAAGTGCATGCATTCAAATAAAATGTCCTCTTTAACATATTTTCAAGGTTTTTATGTATGGCTATCATACTTAGTGCAATTTTTGTACTAACCCATATATTCCTAGATTTTTCCCAAGTGTAGGGTCCGGTTCTTAAGGAGGTCATCATATGATTCAATCTTGGATCAACTATTCTCCTAGATTATGGTGAGTCCTCATGATCAGAGGATGGAAGGGTCATTTGTAGTTCCATCTTTGCATTTCATTTTCGGACTATGTTGTAAGGGCTATGTCCCTAATTGATTCAAGTATTATAATAGATTGCTATAATGAGACAAGTCTAGACTTCCGCTTGCTTTTATAAAAGATTTTGATTGTATGAATAATGTTTTGAAATTTCCACATCATTTCTATTTACATTATGTTATGATATGCTAAGTGGCTTGTGTTAGCCACTTTCAGTGTCTAGTACGCCATGTTACATCTAGGTTGTACCCCTTGGTCGTGACAAATTTGATATGGTTTGTGATGTACTTGATATCCCCATCCATGTTTCTACCCTAGTTGGAGAGTCAGTTATAGTCACCCATGTGTATCGTGCTTGTCCTATCTTGTTTATGGGTTTTCAGACTTGGGTTGTTTTGGTTCTTTTGGATATGAATGACTCTGATATAATCTTAGGCATGACTTGGTTGTCCCCCTATTATGTTGTGCCTAATTGTAATGCTAAGTCTGTGACTCTAGAGATCCAGGGTAGGGAAAAGTTAGAGTAGGAAGGGGTGCACAAGCCTAAGCCAACTAAGTTCATATCCTCTATTTGGGCAAGGAAAGTGGTGGGGTAGGGGTGTTTGGCATATTTGGCTCATATTCGGGATGTTGAGGTTAAGTCTCCCTCTATTAATTTTATTCCTGTAGTGTTTGAATTTACGGAAGTGTTTCCTACCGATTTGCCTGGCATGCCTCTGGATAGAGATATAGATTTCTACATTGACTTGAAATCGGGCCCTCGCCCCATTTCCATCCCTCTCTATCGCATGGATCTTGTAGAATTGAGAAAGCTTAAGGCTCAAATCCAAGAGCTTCTTGATAAAGGGTTTATCCGTCCTAGTGCTTCCCCGTGGAGTGCTCCTGTCTTGTTTGTTAAGAAAAATGATGGTAGTATAAGGATGTCCATAGACTACCGGCAGTTGAATAGGGTCACCATTCGAAATAAGTTTTCGTTGCCTCAGATAGATGATCTTTTTGACCAATTGCAAGGTGCGACAATTTTCTCTAAGATTGATCTAAGGTCTGGTTACCATCAGTTAAAGATTAGGACTAAATATGTACCCAAAACGACATTCAGGACCCGCTATGGGCACTATGAGCTTTTACTAATGTCGTTTGGATTGGCCAATACGCCTACAACCTTCATGAATTGGATGAATGGTGTCTTCAAACCATTCACTACTGGAAATATAGCTTATCGCAACAGTTCTATTTCTGTTGTTGTAGGTAGGAATACCGTCGCCACAGACATATTGCAACGGTTATAGCACCCCTCCCAACAGATCTTGTCGCAATAGATCTATGGCTACGGTTTTTTGCGACGGTGCCACAATCGTCGCTATAGAAGTTCGTATTGCGACAGTACTTATTTTAATGTATTGCAACGTTTTTTATGCCTTTTTGGGACACTTTACCAACCGTCCCTATAAAGTCTTTGCGACATTTATTCTCTTATTGCAACGGTTGTTACTTTAAGCTATGGCAACAGTTTGGAACCCCCTATTGGGACGTTTTGTGAACTTTGCCTAAAGAGTCTTTGCAACGGTTCTAAAACTCTATTGGGACATTTTGTCAACCGTTTCTATAGTGTCTAAGCAACACTTATTTTATCCTTTCAACGGTTCTTTCTTTGAGGTATTGCAATGAATCTAAATTTTTTAGGGACGCTTGTGAACCGTTCTTATAGTGTCATAGGCAACACTTTTTATATTTATTGCAACAGTTTTCTCTAGTCTATTGCAATGGTTTTATATGGCTATTTTGATAGTTTTCTTCAATAGGTATATATATCAAACACGAGAAATAACTATTCATAATCAAATACAATCCAAGATCCCAGGACAAGTTATAATATTCATTAAAGCAAAATATACAAAAAAATCCTTGAACATTCAAGAGGTTAGACACAAGTTTTGTCAAAAAAACAAAAGATTACTAGAACACATGCTAGTGTCAAAGATATCAACATAAGCCTCGCCCCTAAGGTGTGCCTTCATTGTTTTCATCCCTTTGTTCACCTTCACTACTACCTGCAAAAAAAAAATTAAAAATGAATTAGCAAGATACCTTCTACATGAATTTAAAACTATCTTCTCAAGACCAACTTGAAGATAAATGTCACTAACTTCCACCTATACTACAGTAAAATAAGAGAAGGCATAGGTGAGGGAGTAGCAAGCATTCTCCGAAGGAAGTTATAATTAATTATAACTTATGCCTGCTATTTATGTATCTACAATTTATAAAGATAAACCACAAAGAGGCAAGATGAATGGAAGGTTGAGTACCCATATATTCATAATTTTCCCTCAAAGAATATGCAAGCAAATTTAAAAACTCTGTGACATGAAGACAACTGGTACAGTGTGGTCAAATTTCTGTGGGAGGCCACCTATAGAGCACCAAGAACTAAAGCCAACAAATGGATAAGATGAAACTAAATTGCCTCCAAGATAGCACAAACATATTTTCACATTCTTCACATTGCTAGTTGCCCATAGATTATTGTTAAAAGTTAATGGTTATTTCACAACTCATCCCATATGAATATTATTTACAAATAGAATAATTAATGGAGCTTCACTATTAAGACAATGCCCAAATCAATAAGCTCCTATTTTAGAGACCATAAAAAAGACATAATTTATGCACAAGGTGAAGAGGTTCATGCCACCACAAACTTAGAAGCTGAACTAAAGAGATAAAGTACAACAAACACAAGGAAAGGAGAGACATTATCATTCAATGAGATGTAATATAATCACAAACTCCAGTTGTTATCTAAATGATTAAACAATACTCAAGCATGGCACACTTATTCACGAAAATTATGGAAATGATTTATTGAAGTATAGAGGTGTTTAATGTAATTTGTAGGAGTTTTTATCTCTGTCTCCTGCAAAGAAATATGGTTGACATATTGAGGAATGTTGCATTGGTTGTTTGTTGGTTTCTTCCATTAAGTGAAAGGAGAAAATGACATGTGACGCTTTAGTGAAAAAGAGACCGAAAGAGAAAAGAAAATAAGAAAATAAATGCGAGAGGAGAAGAAATACTATGTAATGTTGGTAATGGTATAGTGATATGTAGTCAAGATCTGAACATAGATTATATGAGAGCAAATCAGAAGTCTTACATGAGAGCTTCAGATTTTCCCTTCTAGGCATTAGATTAAAAATACATCATTTGTTGTTTGTGTCAATACGTTAATAAAGAAAACTATAATTATCAAAAACAAGAAAGCAAAAATAAGTGACCATATACTGCCAAAGAAATAAGCCACTCAAACCCAAATCAAGGAATCTATAAAAAGAGTAAGAACAAGACGAAGGAGGAAGGAGAAGAGGAAGGAGCAATAAACAAGTGACACTAACCTCGATTATTGCTACTTGTAGATGGCCGAGAGATTAGTTGATTAGCTCTTGGTCCGAAATTAGCTTCTCCAGGTGAATGAACACACAATGCTGCTAGTACGTCGGCATTAATTAATCCCGCACGTTGAAGTTGTGCAATTATATTTGCAGTAACATCTTGTTGAATGGTTCTCTTTTGCTCCTCCATTTGTTCCTCCATTTTCTGTATCCTTTCTTCCATTTGTTGTACTGCATCATTTGTGGTAGTTGAAACTGGTTCAGAATTGCCTGCTTTCCTTTTCAAAGAACTCTTTGTAACTCCCCGTCCATATAATCTAAGACGTCCTGGATGTTCAGGACCCATTACAGAAGAAAATGCATCAACAGACTCACTACCATCTACACTTTGTTGTTTTTCAATTTCCTCCATTTCAGCCTACAAAGCAAATTCAGTAAAAAATATTCAAATAAACATAAATTACGATCAAATAAATGATGTAAAAGAGAGTACAAGTAGATACTATTCGTACAATTTTACTAATGGTGTCTTCATTTGTGTCCTTGTACAAACGTTCGGGGTGTCTTGTTCTTGTAACCACAAATAGCTCCTTAAGTGATACAGAAGTTTCCTTTTTTTTCTCCTTCTCACATGAAAAAATGATAATAAAAATCTATTTATAATAACAAGTTAAGATTTGATAAAGAAGTAGAAAACACACCAAATTATTGCGGACTAAAGCAAAACTTATTTTTCCAGCAGTATGTGAATTCTTCAACTTTTTCCGATTCTTAGTATTGGTTTCAGACATTTTCTGGAAATAAATAAATCAATATCACAGCAAAAGAGAGA